GTGGGGGGTGGGGAGGAGGTTCATAATTGGACCTTGAACCCATTTCATATGATCGGAGTTGCCGGTGTATTGGGTGCTCCCCCGGGTAGGGAGTGTGGGTTCTTTTCCAGGTGTGATTGGGTAGGGCAGGGGCGGAACTAGAGTGCCAGGAGCGGGTTCGGCCAAACCCAGTAGCTTCGGTCCATTCCCTGTATTTGTCTTAAAAAATCTATTGAATATATACAAATTATTAATTTAGAACCCAATAACTTAAAACGATTAGAATTACGAACCCATATGCTTGGAATCCTAGAGCCGCCTTCAGTAGAGGGTTATTTTTGGTAATCTTTTTTAGTATAAGCTGACTGGATATGATTTTTTCACAGGTCATGGTTGTAAATTAAAGTACATCTTGTGTGGTGCTTAAATAAGTAAGTTTCATTAGGCTATTCAATATTGCTTATTGAAGTACAAATTTTAATTTCCTTGTGTTTGTTTATGTGAAATCAGGAATTTTTGAAGGTTTTTTTTTTTTGGTAAAAAAGAAACTAATATTATTGCTGCTAAAGTTTGCTACAGTGCATAGCTAAGTTGCTCCGACATGACAGTTTAGGTGCCACACCCGTATCGATACAACACTAATATGGGTGTGGGTATGGGATCCGTATCGGATATGGTCAAACAATTTTGGGTACTTTGACCACAACAGACGAAAACATTCGAGACGAGATACAATTTGTTTCCCGAAATAAGAACCAAAACTTGGGTAAATTTGAAGAAAATAGCATACTTTATCTGGTAAATCAATCATTTACTTATCTACAATTTGAGAAGAAAAAAAAATTCATACTTTACATGCTATACGTAAGTATTCCATAAAATTTCTCATAATTTAGAGATATTTTATATATTTTTATTTTTAAATTATTTTTAGCCGGATCCCCACACCCGTATCCGTACGAGGATCCATATCCTCGAATCTTAGAATTTACATCTCGAAGGATCCGACCTCTAGATTCGCACCCGTGTCGGACACCCACACCCATGTCCGAGCAACTTAGGTGCATAGTTTGATTTGTCTAGGACACATAATTCCTATTCAATCATTTTCATAAGAAAGCAAGAAAAAGGGTACATCATAGAACATTAAGCTTTCAAAAACTTCCAAATTACTTCCATGCTTTGCTAGTCATTCGCTAGCTTGTTAGCTTCCCTTAGTATATGCTGTCACGACCCATTTTCTAAACAAGCCGAGACCGGCACTCGATCACTAAACCTGATCGAGCGAACCATCTCTGCTTATTCAATGTATTATAGCTCCACACTTTATATGCAACAAAGCAATACTCTAACCAAATACTCTTGATTAATTCAAATATTTAAATAAATCAACTCCAAAACTTTATTCATAGTAACTACTGAATTATTGCTAAGTTATTATAAAATAACATATGAATTTCAACCCAATGACTATGTCTATGAAGCCTCTACCGATAAACTGACGCACTGCTCAGGACATGAGATTTCCTGGCCAGTTCTCTAAATAAATAAAGAAATAGCTAAATGAAAATGACTCTAAGAATACTCCACGAACAAAAGCGGAGCTCACCACTATCACTGGAAGGGAAGGAAGTCCTAACTCGTAGCCTGCTCGCCTGCAAATCCGGTTCCTACGTTGTACCGCAGACCAACGTAGGTTCCCAAAAGAGAACGTCAGTACCATCCACTGTACTCAGTGAGTCTCAACAACAGGGGGAGAAACTTTAATAACATATACATTACGAGCAAAGGTTCTAAATGCATGTAAAACATAAAGCTTATAAGAATAATTCTAAAATAATTGCATAGTAGCAATTTATGAATATTCTAAAAGAAATTCTTTTCTTTTTTCTTTCTTTAAAAAAAAAAATACTTCACTTTATACTTTGGGAGTTCCAACTATCCTGACTTAATTCTGTCTCAGTCACCGTGTGATCGGCACGGGTTCGATCCCAACCTGATCGAATAGGTCCAATCCACGAGGTGCCACTCGCTTCATGGTTCTCAGCGCTCATGTATCATACCTTAGCATGGCTAAGTAAATTCTCAGCAACGAGCCCCTCGGCTCACGTGCTGCACAAGTAGTTT